TGGCTAGTAACACACAAGGAGTCCCCATAAGGCTATCAGCTGCCTTCTCAATGGAAACACTACAAGCCGGAAGGTAATGGGAAGAAATATTCCAAGTGATGAAAAGCAAACACCTGCAACCAAGACCACCAGTACCCTTCAAGGCTCTCATTTAAAATGAAAGGTGAAATAAAGAGTTTGCCAGACCAAAAAAAAAAAGCTAAAAATGTATATTTCTACCAAACAAGCATTGTAAAAGATGGTAAAGGGACTGCTTTAAGAAATGAAGAAAAAGATGGGGAGAGAGCAGCACAGGTACAAAGGAAAACAATGGCGCTGAATAAGTACCTATCAGTAATAACCTTAAATGTAAATGGATTAAAGGCTCCAATCAAAAAACGAGGGTAGCTGAATGGTAGCAAAATAGAAGAAAATGGGACCTGCATACATGCTGTTTATAGGAGACCCATGCCAGAACAAAAGATCTACAGAGACTGAAAGTGAAGGGATGGGGAAAAAAAAAAAACTATTCCAAAAAATGGACATGAAAAAAAAGCGGGGGTAGCAATACTTACCAGACAAAATTGATTTCAAAACAAAGGCCATAAAAAGAGACACAGGCGAACACTTCATAATATTTATGGGAATAATTCATTAAGAAGATGTAACCCTTTATACATACATATATGCACCCAACATAGGAACACCCAAGTATATAAGGCAATCTTGAAGGACTCCAAGAAAGATATTGACAGCAATACAATAATAGTAGGGGATATTTAAACCCCGTTGTCAACAATGGATAGATCTTCCAAGAATCAACAAGGATATTGTGGCATTGAACAACACTCTAGCTCAAATGGATTTAATTGATATATACAGAGCCTTTCACCCCAAAGAAGCAAAATATACATTCTTCTCAGATGCATATGGAACATTTTCAAAGATAGACCACATGGTAGGACACAAAACAAACCTCATCAAATTCAAGAAAATTGAAATCATATCAAGCATATTCTCAGATCTTAATGGCTTGAAACTAGAAACCAACCTCAAGGAAAAACTCAAAAACATTCATATTCATGGAGACTAAACAACATGCTAGTAAATAATAAATGGGTTAATAATGAGATGAAGTAGGAAATCAAAACATTTGGAAACAACACAGAAGTCTAAAACCTATGGCATACAGCGAGTCCTGAGAGAGAAGTTCAGAGTAATACAGGCTTATCTAAAAAAAAGATAGAAAAATTTCAAGTAGACCACCTACCCCCAAATCTACAAGAACTAGAGGAACGAGCACAAATAAAGCATAGACTGAGTAGAAGAAAGGAAATATTCAAGATCAGGGCAGAGATAAATAATACAGAAACTAAAAGAACAATTTAAAGTATCAATAAATCCAAGAGCTGGCTTTTTGAAAAGATAAAAGTTGACAAGCTTTTAACCAGACCCATCAAGAAAAAAAGAGAAAGGACCCAAATAAATAAAATCAGAAACAGAAGAGGAGAAATTACAAGTGAAGCCATAGAAATACAGAAGATTGTAAGAAATTACTATGAACAACTATAGGCCAAGATTGTACATCTTAGGCGAAATGGACAAATTTCTAGAAAAAATATCTACTAAAACTGAATGCAAAAAAAGCAGAAAGTATGAACAAGACTAATATAAACTAGTGAAATGGAAGCAGTAGTCAAAACACTCCCGGTACTCAAAAGCCCTGGACTGGATGGCACAGGTGAATTTTACCAAACAGTAAAAAACTAACTCCTACCCTTCTCAAACTATTTCAAAAAATTCAAGAACAGAGGAGACTCCCAGGCTTGTTGTATGTGACACCAGTATTACCCTAATTCCAAAACAAGGAAAAGCACAACAAAGAATCTGAAAATCCAACATCACTGATGAACATAGATGCTAAAATCCTCAACAAAATATTGGCAAACCAGACCCAGCAATACATTGAAAAGATCATACACCATAATCATGTGGAATTTATGCGAGGGATGCAAGTATCGTATAATATTTGCAAATCAATAACTGTAATTATGTCACATAAACAAAATGAAAGATAAAAATTACATGATCATATCAATAGATGTTGAAAAAACACTTGATAAAGTATAGCATCCATTTATGATAAAAACCTTCAGCATAGTGGGGATAGAGCCAGGATATCTCAATATAATAAAGGCCATATATGAGAAACCTACAGCCAATATCATACTCAAAAAGCAAAAAGTAAAAGCTTTTCCCCTAAGACCAGGAGCAAGACAAGTGTCTCTGTTTTCACCATTTTTATTCAACATAGTATTGGAAGTTCTAGCCACAGTGATCGGGAAAGGAAAAGAAGTAAAAGGTATTCAAACTGTAAAGGAGGAAGTAAAACTGTCATTTGCAGATGGCACGACAACGTACAGAGACAACCTTATAGGCTCCACCAGAAAACTACTTGAACTAATAAGTGAATTTGGAAAAATAGTGGGATACAAGGTCAATGTTCAGAAATTGAAGGCATTTTTTATATACCAACAATGAAACATCAGAAATAGAAACTAGGAAAAAAGTTCCACTTACTATAGCAACAAGAAAAATAAAGTACCTATGAATAAACTTAACCAAGCAGGTAAAAGACTTGTACTCAGATAATGGCAGAATACTGAAGAAAGAAATTAAAGAAGATACAAATAATGGAAGCATATACCGTGTTCATGGATTGAAAGAATTAACATCATCAAAATGTTCATCCTACCCAAAGCAATCTATAGATTCAATGCAATCCCCTAATACCAATGACATACTTCACATATTTAGAACAAATATTTCAAAAATTTATGCGGAATCAAAAATGACCACAAATAGCCTCAACAATCTTGAGAAAAAAGAACAAAGTAGGAGGGATTACAATACCCAGTGTCAGACTATATAACAAGGCCACTGTAATCCAAACAGTCTGGTGGTAGCATAAGAACAGACACATGAATCAATGGAACAGAATAGAGAGCCCAGAAATAAACACGTCTCTGTGGTGAATTCATATTTGACAAAGGGGGCAGGAGCATACAATGAAGTAAAAACAGCCTCTTCAACAAATGATGTTGGGAGAACTGGAATGGTATATGCAAAAAACTGAAACTGGACCACCAAGTACCAGAGTAATCTCAAAATGGATAAAAGACTTAAACATACACAGTAACACCATAAAACTACAAGATGAAAACATATACAATACAATTTCAGATATCCTTTTCAGCAATATTTTTGCTAATATATATTGGCAATTATATTCCCTCTAGGGCAAGGGAAATAATAATGAGACTACATCAGTTTAAAATCCTTTTGCACAGCCCTGGCTGGTGTGGGTCAGTGGATTGAGCACCAGCCTGCAAACCAAAGGGTTGCCAGTTCAATTCCCAGTCAGGGCATATGCCTTGTGTTGCATACCAGGTTCCCAGTTTTTGGCCCACAAGAGGCAACCACACATTGATGTTTCTCTCCCTCCCTTCCCCTCTCTAAAAATAAGAATAAAATCTTTCAAAAAATAAATAAAAACCTTTCGCACAGCTAAAGAAAACATTAGCAAAATGAAAATTGGACCAACTCTATGGGAAATCATATTTGCTAATGGTACCTTGTACAGGGTTTGATCTCCAAAGTATATAAAGAACTTACAGGACTCAACACCAGGAACACAAAGAATCGAATTAAAAAATGGGCAAGGGACCTGAACAGATGGATACTTCTCCAAGGACTTACAGAGGGCCCAGAGGCATTTGAGGGGATGTTCAACATCACTAACCATCAGAGAGATGCAAATTAAAACCACACTGAGGTATACTTCACACTGATCAGCGTGGCCATTATTAGCAAACAAGTGCTAGTGAGGATGTGGAGAAAAGGGAACCCTAGTACACTGTTGGTGAGAATGCAGACTGGTGCAGCCACTGTGGAAAACAGTATGGAATTTCTTCAAAAAACTAAAAATGGAGCTGACTTTTGACCCAGCGATCCCATTGCTGAGATCATATCCTAAGAATCCTGAAACACAAGTTTGAAAGAACCTGTGCACCCCAATGTTCATACCAGCACAATTTACAATAGCCAAGTGCTGGAAACAGCCTAAGTGTCCCTCAGTAAATGAGTGGATCAAAAAACTGGTATATTTTGCAATGGAATACCATGCAGCAGAAAGAAGGAAGGAACTCCTACCTTTCATGACAGCATGGTGGAACTGGAGGATACTATGCTAAGTGAAAAATGCCAGGCAGCAAAAGACAAATACCATATGATCTCACTTATAAGAGGAACCTAGTAAGTAAAACAAACAAGCAAAATAGAACCAGAGGTATGGAAACAAGGAACAGACTGACAGTGAGTGACTACTAGAGGGATGGTGGGTGGGGCATAAGACAGGAAAGAAAGGGTCTAATCAGTGATCAGGTATCAGTGACCCATGAGCATGGACAAGAGGTTGGGGATTGACTGGGAAGCGGGGTGTGGGTAAGTTATGGGAGAACAATGGGGGGAAATTGGGACAACTGTAATAGAGCAACAGTCAGTCAAAAAACATATATATAATTATTGCCAAGATTTTTTTGAATTTAAATATTTTTGTGTCAAGTTAATTCAGGTGTTCATATCTGATAGAGTTCCTGTGTGAAGGGTAAGTTCTTGTGGTCTGTAACAAAACCTAAAATGTAGGTGTTGTTTTTGGTAAATGAATTGAGCATATCAGTTGAATAAAGTTATAATATCTTTGGCTTTTTATCTTTTTGCCCTTTGGTTAATATTTACTATGATTCATTGAAATTAATTTCAGAGCTTACTCCAGGTTAGGGAGTTGGAATTATATAGGAATTCACATACCTCATTAGCTCCTTGCTTTAAATTAAAAAGAACTACTTCTGGGATTAGAGCTCTCTTGATGAAATTGTTAAAATGTGAAATTTGAATTTATGACTTTCTTAAAGACTTGAATGCGTTTTGCTTGCCAGTATTTAATTTTTTTTTCTTTTTAGTTTTAATTTTGATTTGCTGTTACTACTGATATCTGAGCCAAAGTGGTGATGCTGCCTGAGGGAAATTTCTACATCCCTAAGTCAACACTGACACGGTAAGAGTGTGTGCCTTCTACCCTTAAAGCCATTTAATTTTCGTAATGTTGTAGTTTAGAATTTTAATTAGAAATAAATAGGAAAAATACATTAATATTTAAAGTATTAAATGTTAATATATTTTAACAGAAATATTGAGATAGTGTTTCATATTTAATATTTTGTCTTTGAATCTTAATCAACAGTAAGAATTTTATATATTCTCATATTTCATGTGAATATTAAATATAACTATGTAGTTTATTAAACTGGGGTCTCATTTTCACCCCTATATATTTGCCCATTTACTTTTTACCTCCTGAGGTTTAAGTAGTTCTTTTATTCTCTGAACCTTGTTAATAGTGAGTTGGTAAGAGAAGTCAAGATGATAAAACTTGTCAGTTTTTACCATCTCTTACTCTGAACTGAAGTGAACTGAAGTGCTGGTGATTCCAACAGTGGCTAATATGAGATTTTGAATTATTTAAGGATTTAAATGGTTTATGCTGCTCTGTCTTTGAGGGATAATGCAAGAGTAATAAGACATAGCACACTATTCAGATAAGATATTCCTTTGAGCTTCACTTTCCTCATGTATAAAAATGCCATCACTTGCCTTTAATGTTTTGTAGAGTTGTAAAAATCAAATGAGATGATGCATGTGGAAGTGTCCTCCTCTCCCCCCCCCCCTGCTTTTTTGGGCAAGTGTAGAAGGGAAATAGCAGGCCTTTGGATTTGAGATGGGTATTAAGAAAGGACATACTCTTTTAATATCCACACAGGAGTGTCCAGCCTTTTGGCATCTCTGGGCCACCCTGGAAGAAGAGCTCTTTAACGAGTGTCTTGGGCCACTCATTAAATGCATTGTGACATGTAATCACAAAAAATTCTTAAAATGCTTTAAGTAAATTTATGGTTTTGTGTTGGGCCACATTCATAATCATCTTGGGATTCATGGCTGCAGGCTGGACACCCCTGCTTAGAGGAGAGGATGACAGAAGACTTGATCTCAAATCCTACTTCAGTTCTACTTTGGGAATATCACTTTATTAATTTACTGTTGGAAAAGTGAATTTAATTCTCATACTTTGCAGATAAATTTTCAGGAATATGTCTATTCTTTGACTACAGTGGAATTACTGTATTTTGTCATGTATAATTTGTATCTATATAAATGTTTTTTAATTCTTTTATTTATGCTTATGCATTAAAAGTATAACTCTAAAAAGCAATAATGATATCTTTATGCAAAATGATACCCTGGAACATGATAATTGGTTTTGTTTTTAAATATAAATAAAAAATTGAATTAAAAAACTAAAATGAAAGAATTTTTTTTCTGAAAGTTGGGGCCAAAACACGGTATCACATTATACACAGGACTACATTATACACAACAAAATATGGTAAGCAAGAAATCAGTGGCAGATAACTGGGAAATCTCCAAATATTTTGAAATTATATTTAATTTCAAATTTTCAAATTATATTCTGAAAATACCATGGGTCAAAGAGGAAGTCTAAAAAGAAATTAGAAATTAATTTAAATTGAATGAAAATACAACATCAAAATTTATGGGATACACCTAAAACATTACTTCAAGGGGAAATTTACAGTGTTAAAGTCTTATATTAGAAAACAGGAGTTTTAAAAGAATTAAAGTTTCACCTGAAGAAATTAGAAGGCAAAGAGCAAATGAAACCCAGAACAAGCAGAAGAAAATAATAAAAAGCAGAAATTATTGAAATAGAAAACAGGAAAATAATTTTAAAAAGTCAGTGAAGACAGAAAATTGTTCTTTCTGGCTTCTAATATGTGCAAATTGATAAATATACAGTCACAGTAATCAGGAAAAAAAAGAGAGAGCAGAAATTTCTAGTATCAGAAAATAGACCATAAGTATAAACCCCACAGATATTTAAAGGGAAGATAAGGAAATATTAAAACTTAGATAAATGGACGAATTCCATCAGAGATATAGCAATAGCTACCACCTTACTCAAGAAATTGAACTTGTAGTTAAAAATGCTCCCCAGAAGAAGTCTCAAGTCCAGATGGACTCACTGGTGAATTCTCCCAACCTAATAAGAAATTAATAATACCAGTTATATATAAACTTCAGAAAATAGGGAGGGAACACTAATTTATGAGGCCAGTATTACTCTGATACAAAAAAAACCAAAGATATTTCTCAATAAAATATTAGCAAATTGAATAGAGTTTGTATAAAATGGATTATATGTCATACCAAAGTACAGTTTATTCCAGTGATGCAGGATTGCTTCCTCATTTGGAAATAAATCAGTACAGCTCACAGTAGCAACAAACTAAACAATTGAATTTTCAAAAGCCGTATGATCCTCATAATAAATGTAGAAAAAACGTTTAACAATATTTATCATCCACTCATGATAAAAACTCAGAAAAAATAGGATTAGAAGGGAGCAGGAACTTTTTCACCTTAATAATATGTATGTATGAAAACATTATAGCTAATACTATAATTACTTGTGAAGCACCTAAATGTTTGCCTAACATTAGGAACAATGAAGGATGGTTAATCAACATTCCTATTCAGAATTGTCCTAGTCAGTGCAGTAAAGCAAGAAGAAATAGAAGACCTTTGGGTAAAGAAAGAAAACAAATCAAATTCAGAATTACCATAGCAAAGGACCTGAGAAATGTGGAGTTTGGCTTTCTAGCCTCTGTGATAGAGAGGAAAGGCTCGGAGGAGATCAGAATAGATACTCAATGCCAGTAGACAACATCAACTGGATTTTTTTAGGTTTTTGTGGTTATGATCTGAAAATCATAAAATCCAAGACAACACTTATATTCGGTTGTGGTTTTAAGTTTCTATTTTCTTTAAAGTTAAAAGTCAGCATAACCTGTTGGGAGTTTTAAGTTTAGCATTTTCTTTCTATTAATAGTACAAACAGCTCTGTGCAGTACTTAAAAGTTATGCATTAAAACTTTATTAAATGGCTCTTTTTTGTTATAAAGAAAGAAAGTGAAACAAAATCAAGATTTTCTCTTAAAACCTAAGAGGGCAAACAAAATATTTGTTAAATCTCTTGTAACTATCATTTGGCTTTGGATGATTTCAAATTGTTTTGTTTGCCTGCTATCTATATCTTAGAATGCATTGACATGTTTTATGTGATAATATAAGCCATGTATTTTGCTTGTTGATTTCTGCTACATAATTTTCAAATGCTTGCTTAATTTTATGATGGTTGGCAGTGTAGAATTAAGGAAATCTCAAGCCCTATTCCCAATTGCCTGGGATAGTTATTTGACAAGACACTGTCTCTGGATGGTTTGCTGGAATCATTTTTTAAGTTTCTTGTAATAGAATAGTTTTTCAGCATAAGTAGAATGCTTACAGATGTATACAAGTATATAATTGAATAACTATGCATTTCTACTTTAATTAGTGACCAAATCAGTCAGTGCTGTATACTTGGGATGGTAAAGTGGTACAATAGAGGCAGTGTAAGTTGAAAACTTTCTAGGCAGTTACTAGAAAATCTCGGGTTCAAATGCTGAAAAATAGACTTTTTTTTTGCTTTTGAGCAAAACCTTCATTTGATCCTCATTTCCCTCATTTGTAAAAGGAGGACAATAATCTTTATTTCCAGTTGTATTGAGAATAATTGATATACATCATTGCATCACTGTATAAGTATAAAGTGTAAGGCATGAAGGTTTGATTTACATATATTGTAAAATGATTATCATAATAGATTCATATAACATCTGTCTTCTCATATAGAGATAACAGAAGTAAAGAAAGAAGAAAAAAGAAAAATGTTTTTCTCCTCGCGATGAAAGCTCTTAGGATTTATTCTCTTAACAATTTCCTTATGTAGCATACAGCAGTGTTGCCATAGTCATGTTGTACATTACATTCCTAGTGCTTATTTATTTTATAACTGAAACTTTGTGCCTTATGGAAGTTTGTAATCTTGATGAGCTGCTGAAAACTTTAAAACAATGCTAGAGTATCTAGCAGACAAAGGATACTCAAATGGCGATGTTAATAGAGGATCTTTGTTGGAGAAATATTAAAAGACTGGAAACTGAGGGAACTGGTTTTGAATTGGGTTAGAAAAATTATTACAATGGAATTTTCCACAGAAGTAAAACAATAAAAAATACTCTAAAATTTGTGTGGAACCACAAGAGACTCCAAATTGCCAAAGACTCCTGGGGGAAAAAAGGAACTATATTACAAAACTATAGTAATCAAAACAGTATAGTATTGACTTAAAAACTGACTCAGAGGTCAATGGAACAGAATAGAGTCCCGAAATAAATTCACACTTATATGGTCAATTAATTTACAACAAGAGAGCCAAGAACATGCAGTGTGGGAATGGATAGTTTCTTCAATAAATGGTTTTGGGAAAACTGGACAGCTTCATGAAAAATAAACTAAACCATTATCTTACAGCATACCTCAAAATTAACTCAAAATGGATTAAAGACTTGAATGAAAAACCTGAACCATAAAACTCCTAGAAGGAAACGTAGGTAGTAAGCTTCTTGACATTGGTCTTGGAGATAAAATTTTGCGTTTGACTCCAAAGCAAAGGCAACAAAAGCAAAAATAAACAAGTGGGACTGCACAAAGCTCTAGCACAGTAAAGGAAACCATCAACAAAATGAAAAGACAACTTATTAAGTGAGAAAGTATTTTCAAATCATATATCTTATAAGGGGTTAGTATGGAAAAAATATATAAGAAACTCATACAACTCAATAGCAAAAAATCTCAAACACTGTGCTTTAAACATGGGTGGAGGATCTAAATAGATATTTTTTCCAAAGGAGACATACAGATAGTCAGCAGATACATGAAAAGATGCTCAGTATCATGAACTGTCAGGGCAATGCAAATGAAAACCATAATGAGATAATAGCTCACATCTATTAAAATGGATGTTATCAAAAAGACAGAAATTAACAAGTGTTGGCAAGGATGCAGAGGAAAGGGAACACTTGTACACTGCCAGTG